ACTGTAAGTTGGGGTCAGATTCTTGCCCTTACCTTCCTTGATTTTCACGGTTATGTAAATCTGGGGCTCAGTGATTTTCAGACTCCAAAAGGAATGACCTGAAATAACAGAGTAGGTTTTCTTAGATAACTGCATGTAGGCATGATCCATTTTGTGGTGTTATTTTGAGTATAAAAAGATAAAGTAAATCTAAACTATTTTTAGGTACAATTAATCAGTCTAAATGAGTTGATGGAAAAATATATAAATGAAAGGACAGTCCAGTTAGAGGAAGTTATGGAGAGTAATGCTTTTATATAAACATTCTTTTATATAAACAATTCATTTGGCTTTCCAAAACCTGCCTGTAAATCAAGAAGTGCTTTCCAGTAGCTCATGGAGGCTTCTCCAGGCACGTGGTGCTAGCTGTCTTTGCTTTTAGTTCAGTTCCATTGAAAACAGAATATATCTATTTAAAATAGAATTTTAAAAGTATCTCTGTAAATAATTGATGCAGATATCCCAGGGATACCACATGACTACGAACAGTTGCACAATTAGAAATACAAGTGGCCAGCAGGTTACCAGCTGTGAAAAAAACACGTTCAGTGAGATAATTTTTCAGCTAGTATCAGGATAACCTCTGATTTATTTCTGTTGTTGTTAAATCAAACACCCTAGTGGAATGCGAGGGGTTTTTTTTTGATAACGCACACCAGATACATTTAAAAGACTTAGACTAACTTATATTTGTGTTTTTACAGTACTGTGAGGAATTTACACACACACCCTCTGACAGGTCTTGCAATAAAATGAGCTACAGTATTTTAGAATAATAGTTTGTAACTATTTTCCTATGTATTAAAGTTTCCCATATATACATATTATTTTGTGAAGCAGATGCAGCTAACGTAATTATTCAGATAATATCTTACTTTTTTTCAAGCTGAAAAGCTCCTTTAGGTACTTGGGGAAGTTCAGGTTAATACCTCTCAGTCTTCAAAGACTACAAACAGGTGATTTGGGATCAGAGGCTCATTGCTTACTTATTTGAAATATCTAATCTATTTTATCATAAACTAGCTGAGTCTTGTGGATGAAAAGTTTACCTCTAGCTTCCATCTGCACTTTCATTTTACACATTTTGAATGTATCATTAAAACTCTTCTACACAATGTCTTTAAGTGGCCAAGCCTGAAATACTGTTGGGGTCATCATGGCTTCTGCCAGCATTTGAACAAACAAACAATGGACATGTAGACAAATGCCAAGCAATGATAAACACGGATCAAAGGGGTAAAACTCTACTCACTTCAGCTGAAAGATACCCCCTATCACAAAGTGATACCCCTATGGAGTGAGGAAAGTGAAGTTAGAACTTCATAAAGTAGCATTCTTGATACTATAGCCATCTTGAGTTCCCACCAGCCCAAATGTCCAACCAACATTACCTTCTTCAAATGGCTGAAAGTCCCAATAATGATAAAAGACAAAGGGAATTCAAGGTAAATGCCAGCTAATTTTAACAGCCAGGAAACCTGTCATTAAGGATCGCAAAGCTGTAGTGAAGCTGAGAGTTGCACCTTCATTTCTGTGTCCCTGGTCACTTCTTCATTGGCAAAACTCCAGCCTTCTTTCTTAAATTGGAATGGGGATCATTTAAAGACAAAATGAGAAAAATTGGTAAGTTGTGGACTGAATAGCAGCAGTATGACTTTCCATGAATCCAGGCACCTGCAAGGTATCAAAGCCAAAGGCATCAGTATTTTTGGAAAATGAGACTGAGGATGTCAAGCAAAGAGCCAGCACTCACAAACTGTTTAATTCATGCTGATTTCCCCAGAACTGTATCCAAGGAGGATGTCACACTTTCCTGTTCTCAAGTTCAACCTTATCTCTGAGTGCATCAGCAAGTTTCACCTCTTCTGAAACTGTACTCTCCTTAAGTTATTTATAAACTCCTGCTGCTTCTTGTAAGTAGAGTTTCACTCACCTTCCTTCCCTCTGCCTCAGATTGTAATATTCCACTGATATGCTACTGCTTCACATACAAACCTTTCAGCAGCCTGTTTCCTTCCAGTTGCAAGACATGGTAAACTCAAAGGAGACCAGTCAGGGAAATGGGAAGGAATTTAGGGACAATATGTAATATTTAACGTGTAGAATCATAGAGGCTCAGCCCATGTCAAACATCCCTGGTAAGCATGTGTTCTTAAAATCCTTTCAAGTTTACTAAAATTGCTATGTTGGTCTTTTGCGCATTAATGCTGAGAACTTTTCAGATATCTCTATGAACTCATTTCCGTCTACCATTTTTATTGTGTCGGGGGGCTATTTGTGACCTGTTCACTTTAAGAAATACATGGAATACAACAAGTTCTAAAAGACTGTAAGATTGTTGCCTTTGTCTAAATTGTTAGATCACTCCGTTGTGTATCTCAAGTGAACATGTATGTCTCTCTGTAACAAAAAAATACTTCACAAATGCCTTGAAAGGCCTACTGTCCTGTTCTTAAAAAGTATTGCAGAACTATTTTAAAGTACAGAGCATGGTTAAACAATAAATAAGGAAAAAATCAGTTAAATCCTTCAGGCACTTCCAAGCATAATGTAGGACAGAGACATGTTACCTAATGTAATCTCAATTTAAACATGTAATCCCTTTGATTAACACCCGTGCCACAAATACACTTAGATCTGCTGCACAGTTTGGCAGTTCAGAATGAGCACTTTGCTTTTTTGCAAATATTTTTTGGCAAATACATTTTTGCAATATTTATTCTTGTAAAAAAAGTTTCTAGGAGCTTTGCTCAAACATAAAAATTAATAAAGGATTAAATGTAATTAAGAAGTTTGAGTGTACTTGGACTTTATCTGTGATCATGAGCAAAACAGCACTGCAATGTAAAATTAAAGGCCATGTAGCCACAGCCTCCAACGAGACAAGTAACATCCTAGAATACTCTTGATCTGCCATGGCTATTTTGAACCAGTTATCAGTTTAATCTATAAAGTTATCCCCCAAGCATTTGATTGCTTGGTAACTAAGCTCTGCATATGCAACACAAATGATTTTAGGATCTCTGCAAAGCTGCACAGAACTAGGCACAAGGAAGTTTTCACTTCAGTCATCTTCTAATTCTGTTCTGCCCAAACTGGCTGAAACAAATGCTACCTTTAAGGGATTTTTTTTCATCCAAAGATTTTGTTGTCTACAAAAGAAGGGTGCAAGGCTGTAAATTTCAGCTCTAGATTCAGACATTTCTGTTTAGGCCTGTTTTGATTCAGTTCATGTGTTTGACTCTTTATAGTCCACTATCAGGGTTGTCATAATCTGTAAAGCCCCAGGAGATATGCCAAGAAATGGATTAAAATTTTCCCAATGAAAGGGTTAGATCCAAGCCTCTGCTTTATCTGCTGCCTTTGCACAGTATGAGAAAAGTTTCAGCAAAATATGGAAGGTAAAATATAGACACTGGGACACTAATTTTTTTTCCTTTTTCAGAGAGGTTTCTTGAAGTAGAGGGAAAACTAGGTCATATTTTGATTTTTCTTGGCTGGCTTATCTCCAAGATGGCTTGCACTCTGTTTCTTTTAAACTTTGGACCTCTCAGAAGGATATATCTCGTGTCAGAATGATAAAGGATCATGTAAAGAAGTACTGCAGAACATGGTAATCTGAACATTCATTACCAGTACAGAATTTCTAATGGCAACAGCTACAAATAACTTACAGGAAACAGTAATAGGAATTGTTTATTCCAGAGTACTTCCTGTGGCTCTGCAGTTTATCCAGGTGCACAAAGGTCTATTTTTCACAGAACATTAATCTCTGTTTCTCTTAGTTTGGATTTCTTGTCAACAGATGACCCAAGCCAAGGTCTAAGCGTAAGTTTTGTAAACAAGTAAATTAGGACTCACACCTTCTACTAAACAGGAAGAAAAAAAGCTAAAGCAGAAGGTGTTACATAAAGACCAACAGATGGGTAGTAGTTTACATTGTTATCATTGACCATATTTGACAGAAGCAAAAATAGGAAGTACTGTCTGTTGTCAGACCTGCTCTGCCAAATCTACCTTGCCAGTATAAATTGTCCCAGTAGCACACTAAGATATATTCTCATTTCCCACCTATTCTGTTTTCTGAGTTAGGGGTTTTTTTGGTCATGCCAAGATCAGAATCATGCCTATGCTATAAGTGTACTCCTAGCAGTGACACCCACCTATCACAGACTTAGTTCTTTGAGACTTTGATTGAATAGTCTCAAAAACACCCCCTTTTGATATGGCACTGATTGTTCTGTCAAAGCAGACACATTGTATATTATAACTGTCTGAACTGGCATTTGCAGATGGAGCTCTGAGTGAAATAGTTACTACAAATTTAAGAGTTTAGAGATTTTTTGTTTGTTTTAAAGCATTCAGAGACAAGGATTGATGGTATACAGCCATTCCGTATACCATGTAAATAGCTTTCAGGTTATAGGTTCATGTGCATTTTACTTTATCAGAATATTACTTATGGTGTATGTATTTGTCATTTAAGTTGCTTGGTTTGGATATTGTTTCCTGTAAGGACAGAAAAAACATTAGGCAAAAGCATAAATGGATGATGGACAATAGAAGCGTACGATTGTCATCACTTACATCAGTTCTGCGATTTCAAGGTATCCCTGAGAATATCCAGTGTTTGTCTGAAAATATGCAAATGCTAATCAGAGCTACTTAGCACATCTTACTGATGTGCAGCTGAATCCTTCTGAATGGCAGTTCTTTCACTAATAAATGTAGTCAGATGTTTTTTGACTTTTTTCCTTTCAGTTCAACAAGATCAGCTGAAAAATTAGCATTGGACTTCCTCTGTGAAATTTTTCACATCTCTTCCATTTTCTCTTGAGCAGATGCAAATTACATTAAGCTCGTTTCAGATAAATATATTGATCAATA